TCACAGTCCGGCGACGAAGTTCTAGAAGCAGTAGCGGTAAATCAGGAGATGCGAGCGGAGCAGGGCGACGCCTTGGTATCCAACTGAAGCACGCCTCAGGGCCAGAACCACGGGCGGCGACGGCTAGCCGGTTAGTATTTTGAGGGACTCGGTAATGAGCAGAAATAATGACCAGGAAGCCGAGTACGCGGAAATAGAAAGTAGTAGTGACAATGATGATGATGATAATAATAATAATAATAATAGCGGATTAGCAGAAAAGAACAAGATTAAAGTTATCGCATGGTTGCAGGAAGAGGATACTGACTGACTGTAAAGATGTAAAGACGGGCCCGGGCGGGCTAGAGGCAACGCAGCTTCCCCGTGACCAGTCCGCAGGCATACATCGCGTTCCACCACACCCTCCCCCGACTGCATCGTCCGCCGTCAGTCTAGTAATACTGTCTCTCTGCCTGCATCGTCTTTCCCCTGCTGTTTTGGTTCTGCTCTGCTCTGCGCTGCACTGCTCTGCACCGGACCCCCAAAAGCCTAGACGCCGCGGAACCGCACCAGCCAGTGAAGTGTTGCGACGTACCGTCATCGCTCCCAGCCTCCCTTTCCCTTCGTCTCTGCCCCTCGTCAGCAAATCTTACTTTCCCCAAACTTTGATCGCATCGCCACGATCTGCTTTTCTTCCTGTCGCCAGAATTCATTCCTCTTCTGATCGTCCCTTCGCTCCGCTGCGCTGCGCCACGCCCACCCTCCGCTGTGCCTATTTCGAATGTCGCTCAAGCTTACCGCCTGTCGCATCTAGACATCACCCGCATCTGCCCTCGCGACACAACCCTCCCAAAGGGGGTCCCACGGGGAAGCCTCGAACAGCGCTTTGAAATCCGCCATCCTCCCATTGTCGCACACATCCATACACCCTCTCCCTCTCTGCGCATCATGGCAACGGGCAGCTCCCAGCCGCTTGCCACACATGCAGCCATCCAGTCTTTCGCTCAGCCTACCTCCCCGCCAGAACCCGCCGCGCCCACGAAAAGAGACCTTGCGTCGTGGTGGAAGAATTTCAAGCGGAACAATAAGAAGGAGGATGAAATCAAAGGTACGTTTGTCATCGCCTCTGCTGCCCGGGAGTTCATACTCGTCTCGCCCCCTCCCCCTCCCCCGGGTTGCTTGTTTCATCTGGCTTTCCATAATCGTGTTGAGGGAGAATATCACTGATCTCTGCTCGCCTCATCCAGATCGCGCCCACGGTGGCATCTTTGGCGTTCCGCTCAATGTCAGCATCAAGTATGCCAACGTCGCCATTTCCCTCACCAACGACAAGGGCGAGAGTTTCATCTACGGCTATGTCCCCATTGTCGTCGCCAAATGCGGTGTCTTTTTGAAAGAACAAGGTACGGGTCTTTTCCTCTAGTATTTGCCTGCAGTTTTTCAGTTCCGCTAACTCTTTCAAGCCACCGAGGTCGAGGGTATCTTTCGTCTGAGCGGCTCTGCGCGACGCATCAAAGAGCTCCAGGAGATTTTTGATTCGGCAGAGCGCTATGGAAAAGGCCTCAACTGGACCGGGTACACAGTTCACGACGCAGCCAACATTCTCCGTCGCTACCTTAACCAGCTCCCCGAACCCATTGTGCCCCTCGACTTTTATGAAGCCTTCCGTGAGCCGCTTCGAAACCATCAAGCACAGGCCGTCGGGAGCACCGAATCGAAAGATGACACCGGCGATTTCGACTACGAAAAATCCGTCGCAACCTATCAGCAACTTATCCGGGAACTTCCCCCGCTGAACAAACAATTACTCCTGTATATTCTCGACTTGCTTGCAGTCTTTGCGTCTAAGTCGGAAAAGAACCGCATGACTTCGGCCAACCTGTCGGCTATTTTTCAACCAGGCTTGTTATCGCACCCATCGCATGATATGGCGCCCAATGAATACAGACTGAGCCAGGATGTTTTGATTTTCCTAATCGAAAACCAGGACAACTTCCTGTTCGGCATGAACGGCACCGCCGCTGACCCCCAGACCGTGAAGGAATTCCAAAGCAATGCCGCTGCCACCCCATCCCGATCTTCAGGCTTGCGTCGCTCGGCGTCAAATGCCAGCGGTGGCGCCGATAGCCTGCGAAAATACGAGGCCCTTCGTCGAAATGTGTCCGTCTCGTCGCGAAACTCCGGGAATACGCAGAGCCCTGGTACGCCAACGTCAACTACCAATACAGTCAAAAGAAGCAACACTGTTCCATCGAAAAAATCTCCTGCTTTGATCACTCCCAAACGTGCACATGGCGAACCGACCACCCCGACATCGTCCGTATTGCCTCCTACGGTTGAAACAGAGCATGTCAACCACCCCACCGAGCTTCTCACACCTACGGCCCAAGATGCCCCCACAGGCAACTTGGCTGATGCTGCTTTAGCATCAGCGCAACCCACCACGCCAGAGCAAGCCGCCGAGCGTTCACAATTTTTGGAACCCGTCCCGAACCCTTCGCAAGCATCCAATGTGACCGTTACTCCTACCAAAGAGCGCAAACTATCGAGCTTCTTTTCGAAATCTCCGCCGGGTAATTCGGAACACAAAGAAACGCGCCAACCGAATCGCCTGAAGAAAAAGCGAATTCCAGGTAGCGCCAATGCCAGTGCCCAGAGCTCTAGTCATTCCCTGAACAATGCTCCATCGAACGATTCTACTTTACTACAATCAACGTCACAAGTGCCGACCCCAGTACCAACAGCTTCGAACGAAGGCACACCAACGATATTAGAGACTGAGCCCGTTCCACCGGTGACTGAAGGTAGCCACCACCACCATCAAATGTCGGAAAGCACAATAAAACCGCATCGCTCTCGATCTCCGTCCATGCAATCAAAGACGTCTTATACAGATCATTCGGAACTAGACCAAGGCGAGGATTCTTCGAAGAAGGAACACCGACGAAGCTGGCGTTTCCCCCTTTCAAAGCACAGCGACCAGCCTACGTCTCCGCCATTGGTCGGGTTGAATTCGGGTGCTGAATTCAGCACGAGCTCCATTGGCAGCTCTACTCACCCTCGGAGCTTTGCCAACGATTCGCACGCTCCTAGCACAGATGTCACGTCGACACATGACACAGACGTCGGAAAATTTGCTGGCAGCACGCGCGAGGGCGCATTATCCCCCGAGCCCGAGAAACGCAGTATATTTGACAAGATCAAAGCCAAGGTTGCGCCCAAGAAAGACGGAAGCGACCGCGCCAAGAGCCCATCACGGGCTGATGTTCCTGTTCCTGTTCCTGTTCCTGTGCCTGTGCCTGTTCCTGTTGCCAGTGAACCCCTACCGGAAGAAAAGGGGCCACAAGAGCAGCAGCCAACAACAGCAACAACCACAGATGTTGAGAACAGCAGTGTCCCTGCTGCCACCGAGGAGTCCAAATAACGGTTGGACATTTTTCTTTGTTTTTTTCTTTTCCTTGACGCGTTTGCCCTAATACCCCCATGTCTCTTAAAGTTGTTTCTCCTCCCCATTCCTCAGAATAAATTCGTCTTCCACGGCCTTTTCTTTCGATACCTTTTGTCCTGTGAGATCTTGATACCGTCATGAATTTTTTTTTTCTTTTCCTTTTTTTCTTGTTTTATATGTCCATTGTTGAAATGCGTACAGTGAGTGACGTGGATAACAGTGGAGTGTTTATTTTACCCTTGTTACTTCTTGTGTGAGCGATAAATCATTATTACCATCTAGGCTGGGACTTTATCAATAGTCTTGGCGTTGGCTTTATATCTATCATTACTATTCAGGAATTGAATCACTTTCCTAAGATTTTTCATATAATACAGGAGATAAAGGATTGTTGTTGGGATTATTAGACAGAAGGCGCATTAAACTCGATCCTTTTGCCGTATACCAGAGGCGTTCTGGCAACCAGCTGGCCCACGGCATAACCCAGGTACGCCCCCGTCAACACTGTAATCGGAAATGCCTGCCACGGACGGTCCCTACATCAATGACTTTGTTAGTATGCAAACCTTTGAAGAAAAGAAAAAGAAAAGCAGGGAAAAATACCAGTCCAAAGGAATAGGCACAGCACCCAACCACGCTCCCACACACACCCCCAACGCACCCCCCCATACCGCATCGGCCGGACGCTGAAAAGCCCATACCTGTTTCCAGACTGTGCCGTCGACACCATGTACATATACCAGCGGTGTCACCGAGAGGAGACCCATGTGCGCGGCGCAGAGCAGCGTGTGGGCATTATGTGTAGTAAAGGGCGCACCGAAGAGGACGAGAAGAAGAGCCAGGACAGGCGTGCCGAGGAGAAAAGTCAATGTGAGGGAGAGGAATGCCGCCTATCAATATTAACATTTGTTATTAGCATTGAATTGTACTTGAGCTTTTTTTTGGGAAGGGGGATGAGGACCGTACGGTCAGTTTCTTGAATATGACATCTTTTTTGGAAGACGCGTGCGTGTGCTTCTTTCGATACGGCGCTTTGTTCGCCTTTACCACTGTATTTCCACCTACAGCAGCCGATGTGGACGGTGCTGCTATTGTTGAAGACGAGGCTCCTACGCCCGAACCATCGGCATTGTTATTGTTGTTGCCGTGCGAACCCGCCTGCGGTAAACAGGTCACGACATACGCAACCTGCAAGACGGTGAAAACAGGCAAATCGCTCAGCAGCGTCGAGACCGGGTCGGCCACCAGCGCTGGAAATCGCACGGCGTACAGAGCGAGCAAGAGGGCTGGGTGGACGTGCGAGTAGGTTTGGGCGGCCGGGGTGGGCAGGATAGACACGGGTGGCGGATTGGGGGTGGTGGGTGTTTCGAGGAGGGACTGTGGAGCTTTGCTCGTTGTTGTTGTTGCCATTGTCGTTCGTTACCTGTCTACCTTGGCTGGTTATGTAGGAGACGAGGTGGTGTTGAAAAGATCCAAAGATCCGCGAAGCCGAGAGCGTTCATTATTGAAGCGATCAGCGGAAAGGCTAAGCATTGGCTTAAATATTTTTATTTTGTTTGTAATTAGCCGAATAGGGATTATAGTTGAGTGGTACAACGCTCGCTTTGCATGCGAGAGGTCCGGGGTTCGATTCCCTGTGATTCCACTTTTCTTTTTTTTTTTTTCTTTTTTTGTGGTAGCAATTTATATATCTATATATCAAGTAATTAATGGCATCAATTTACTGGTCATTTTATATGACTTACACGTCACAGGCAAGAGACCACGTATTCCACATCCAACGCATCATCGACGTATGTAATTAATATTTGCCTCACTATTAATCAACCCTGGTATCCTTAGAATAAATGGTACATATCAATTTACACCCACTAAGTAAACAGCCCGTTTAAAATCCATTGCCATTGACGACATCAGATGCAGGGCGCGGGGGACACGTCTGGTTTGGGAATAGCCTCCAACCTTGATATACGCCAGTTGGGGCCGAAAATTCTGTCTTTACACCGTATATATACCTTTGAAGGGAAATTTGAAATCCCTGCTAATCACTTTATCTATCGGACAGAGCCCCCCCACCCATTTATTCCCGAACGGGACACATTTCACGCCCTGGATTTTCTTCAAATGTTGCAGCATGGTTGGTGTGCCGCGTTCCAAGGCGTGCATAACTTGCCTAAAGCGGAGAAAACGAGTAAATACTTCTACCCTAGTGTCTTCTATGTGTATATATATATATATGTATATCCGCTAACGTTAAATTCAGTGTGATCTACGACAGCCCAGCTGCAGCCAATGCGAAAGGCTCGGGCTCGAGTGCGCCGGATACGCAAAGCAGCGCATCTTCCTCAACACCACGAACACGCACCCGGCAGCAGTATCCTACAAATCCGCAGCAGCAGTAACAGCAGAAACAACAACAATAACACTACCAGACACCTTAGCACGATCAGCCAGCGAGAGCCGGTTAGTTGGCAACTTCTGGTCTGCCTACCTGCCCAATGGCCGCAAGCTGTCGTCTGGCGCCGTACAGGACACGCTGGGTGGGTGGACAAATACGATCCAGGAACTGTATAACACAGACGACACCCTGAAAAAGGCGGTTTTGGCGCTATGCCTGGCAAGTTCCGGTAGGATTGAGGGGGTGCAGTGGATGTCCAAGGAAGCGCTGAGGGTCTATGTTAGCGCGCTGCAGGAGATGAAAGCGGCCCTGAAGAGGCAGTCAAAAACGAAGCAGGACGCAATCCTGACAACTGCAAGGGTGTTTAGTCTATACGAGGTATTTTCTAGGTTTTTTTTTTATCTTTTTTTCCCGAAAAAGCTTTTACTAGATATTAATCTAATCTTGTTAGGCATTGCATGGCGCCGACGACCAAAACGAATCAGCGCAAGCAATAAGCTGGAAAGCGCATATCTCAGGTGAACTGGCAATTTTGATCGAGAGAGGGCCACACGAGTTTCGACAAGGCCACGCTCACAACCTTTTCATCTACGGAAGACTGCATTTGGTATGTTCAAATTTATTCTTAAACAGCAGTAGTACGTTCATGTCCTAATACCGACCAGACAGTTCTAGCAATCAGATCAAGAAAGAAATCCGTTTTGAGTAACCCCGAATGGAAGACAATTCCCTGGGAGTGCCATCCCAAATCCCAAAAGGATAAGCTTTTGGACATACTCACTGAAATCCCCACTCTACTGGAAGAGAGCGACATCTTGTCACGCTCATCCAGTGACGAAACACAAGAAGAAAAAGACCGCCGTCGGCAAAGGCTGATACAGCACTGCTGGCTCTGCGATAAACACCTCACCAGATGGCATGAAGCAATGACCGTGCATACAAGAAAACACTCGCGGCCCTTCAACAATGCCCGACAGTCCATCTTGATCGACACTACGGAACTAGGGTCCGCCCATCTCATGACCCTGTACTGGTCGACATGTGTTCTTTTGTATAGAGTCCTGCGCCAGGCAGTTGGCCCTGATATTCAACTCCCAAAGCGAGTAAATGATATCAAGGGGTATTGCCAGAAAATAGTCAGGGCGCTTCCCATCTTCTTCCATCCGGCGGTAGGCGCCTTTCGGGCTTATCTTTCGACATTTCCAATGTATATAGTTATATCGCATCTTTATGTTTTTGGAGAAGACGAGAAGAAAGCCGAGCTGAAACTGATGGAAGACTGTTACAAGACCACGGAAGGTATAACTATTGGACGGTTTATGAAAAGCGTCGGGCACCATGTCGAGGCAAATAACTCATAGATTGACTTGTATTTCACCAAGTTATACCCAGAATGTACCTCAATAGAATAGATTCAATATCATTAACAAACGCCAGCCCGTGAATATGGTATCTATGTAGAACCGCTGAAATATGAAAAAAATAAAAATAAAAGGAAATAAAAGGAAATGGAAATAGGAATGGAGAGAAGGGGAAACAAAAGGCTGCAAATGATCGGAAGGAACTTTCAACTTCTCTCCAGGAGACGCATGAGACAAAGAGACGAGGGATCCCTATCGACAGGGATGTAAGATGGTATCATTGATAAATACGGGCTGGCAGAAACAGAAAAAAAAAAAAAAAGCAATTAAATCATATTGGCAGCCGTGGTTCGTGACGATGGAGTTCTCCTCCCGGTGTTGGACCTGGACCGCCTGTAAGGGCTATCCCTCCGTCGTGACTCTGAATTCCTTGTCTCAGCACTCGTCTCGGAGGTCTTTCGGGGTGAACTCATAGTTCGTCGTCTCCGATAGCGTCCATCATCAGAGTCAGGACTCGGGATAGGGTAGAGAGTACCCGGTGGAGATGCAGGCAGCCCCGACGAACGGCGTAAACTCTGCATTTCTTCTTGCAATAGTGCAACTTGGCTCTCCAAGGCTTTTCGTGCCGTCTGCTCACGGCGCACCAGAGTCACCAGAGCGCTATACTGCTCGATAGAGATGCTATGCAGGTTGGAGGGTGACTCCGTCTGCCAAGGAGGTGGCTGGCTCAAAGCCATGCTTGGCCGTAGTGTCGACGTACTGATTGGGCGCGCATTTCCTCCAAACGAGGCTGAACTCTCAGACGAAGTCTCACTGGCAGTGCACAATTGATCACGATAGGCGGCTATATTTTGTGTCGTCAGTTTTGCCTTCTCAGGCGTATTTTCTGCCGTCTTGTTCAACCCATCACTCCCAAATCCTTGCATCTTCGCAATTGCAAACTCGAGATCCATCAGTTTAACCTCTATTGTCGTCAACCGTTGGTCGACGCTAGCGTCGGGATCCGCTATGTTGGCCATCAAACTTTGAGCTTGAAATGGGGGCGATTCCACTTCGTTGGAAGGCGTTGCATCCTCCTCGTCAGCACATGGCGTTTTGTTATCTCTAGGCGGGTCGACCTCGTTGTCCGGTGTATCTGTCGTGTCATGGCAATTATCCGCGGTGTCTTGGTCGTATGGTTCCAGTACACTCGTTCGCCAGTCTTTGGTTTCTTTGCTGCGCCGTCTCCATTGTATAGGCGACATGCGATGACGTCGTATCAGAGCCTGAAGGTCGTCGGCACTCCGTGACCGTCGATGGGCTCTTCGAGTATCTAACGATTGCGTATCGCCATTGTCTCGCCGATCGGTGAAAGCGCTTACTGTGCTCATTGCACTGATTGGTCGTGTACTGACGGGTGAAACGATGGACAGGGTTCGTTCTTTTGTATTGCCTTCGTCGTCGGATAGAACCAGGCTGGGCAAAGTCGCTCTTCGTCGAACGGTATATGGAATCTCGGATTTGTTATCCTGAGCGAATAGGTCGGACGATGCGGACGAGAGACGACTAACGGCCAAGGATCTTTTCTGGTTTGCCAGAGCAGAGGGCGAGGTGTTGGAGTTACGAGAGCGTGCTTTTGCTATTGAAAGTGCGTCAGGTCCCCCAGTTATGTTATTGCACCTTTCAGTTCTCAGCACCGATGGATCCTCGTCGGTTTCGTCTCCTTCCAGGATGCTCTGTCTCTTTTTCCCAAAAATCTTCCGCATCACAGTCTTCAAAGTGCTCCCTCGCCGGCGGTGCGAGAACGATTCGTGTGAGATATGAGAAGAAACTGAAACCTGGGGGTGGTGAGATATAGCGCCCCGATACGGCCCTGGTCGCTGCGTAGGTGCAGAGGGCAGTCGAGTAGGTTCCCGGGAGGGATGAACAGGTAGGGCAGTAAAAGTAGGTTCTGACGATGATAACGCCTGTGAAGAGGATGTGGTATCTCTTTGTAAGTATGAGTTTGGCTGGGACATGTTCATGCCTCCTGGGTAAGTTCCACTTCCAACTCGCGGGGAGTTCGGGACGACAATCGAGACAGTCTGTGACATTTGAGAACACACGACTGTATTATTTCCCTGAAATGCTGCAAATCACACCAAGGTTCAAAATAAATCCATAGTAATCAAAATAGCACCGGCAGTTCGAGAAGGTTGTTGACCGGGACTGGTAGTCAACGAGAGACAAGGTTAAATATTAAAAAAAAAAGGAAAGAAAAGAAAAGAAAGGGAAAAAAAATCTGATGCTTCGAAGAATCAAAAGCAGTAAACGACAGTGGTTGAAGCAGCCGGGATAAAAGCTCCTCGGCGTCAGTTGGTCAAGGCAAGGGCTGCATGCAGGCGAAGGCGAAGACGAGGTCTGTGGGCGCTATTCGCACCGGCTCGACTGAGTACGAGGATTCGATTCCTCATGCAGATTGACTATGCAAGATCGCTCTCCAAGTGCGCAAACCGGACATGTTATTATTTTTCGCCTTCCTGCAAGCTGTGTAGCCTTCCGGAAGAGAGCCGGAGGGACAACGAAGGGACGGTAAGCAATGAGGGGAGACTGCGAGAAGGAAGGGGCTGTTGCGTCTTGTCGGACCAGGGAGTAGAAGAGGGAAAGAGCAGTGCAGAGCGAGTGTGTTTCCCTATTGGGTCCAGCTCAGGGCCAGCAGACGTAGGAGTCTCTTTCAGCAGTACGAAGGACTGGTGGTGGTGGTTGTGCAAGTTCAGATGGGGAAGCTTCGGTTGAACCGGGCCTGGCTCGATAACACCAGCGGCCAGCCCACTGGCAGGCAAGCGCGGTACTAAGGCAGAAGCGGAGACGGCAGCTGCAGGGGCGTGCAGACGAAACACCGTCCGTGCTGCCGTCAGCAGGGCCGGG